AGGGACCTCGTCTTTGGCCACCTCCCGTTCAACACTTACCAAAAACTAGATGACTCACGGCGTCCCTGTAAGATAGGCTGTATTAATTACCCCAGTTACAGACCAGGAGAGGGTGAGTGGCCTGCCCAACTTCCCACAGCCATTGATGTAATAGGATTTGGAAGCCACATAGGTCTGACTCCAAAGACTGAGGCACTGATTCACCCATGGCCCTGAACTGCCTTGTCATCGAGGGGCATGTGGGAAAGTGGGAAGGGTGGACATTTTGGCAGAGGTGAGGGGCAGGATTTGAAAAGGACTTCAACAGGGCCGAAATGAATCTCGGGCCCAAATGAATGCATCCTAAGATGAAGGGCAATAGAGGCCTTTGCTTGCACTGGGGTTCAGACTACCCACTGGACACACACAGGATGTGCGATACCTGGGTCAACAGCACAAATGAAAGATGCTGGGTTTTTAGTTGACAGGAAGTCTCCTATGAGTCACAACAGGGGGAGGTGGCAGCCAGCGAAGCTGATGTTACCGTAGCCTCCACAAGTGGAGGTACAATGAGGAGGGAGGGGGTTCTCCCAAGTCAGTTTGCATCCAGGAGATGGAGCTCAGGCCTGGGACCCTTCGTCAGGGGAAGGGGTGCTGACAACCCACCAGGCTCTCCGACACAGCGACAGGGCTGGGGGGGTAGGGGGGTGGGAGCGGCTCCTGGCTGTCACTCTATACTCTCCTCTGTCCCCTGGCATCACTGAAGCATATTCGTATATTTCTGAACAATTGTAGCCCCCTCTTGACTTTTATGCAATTGCCTTACCTGCCTTCGGAATACGCTACTCGGTCCCCTTTGATTTTTTATTCATGTAACCCAAGTAAATGTGGGGATTCCTCGTGACCCAGTTTCTGCATGAAGTCACATTCAAAGCAGCACGATCCGGCAAGCAAAAGAAAGAGGGTTTTCAGGCTTCCTGCATGTCTCTCAAAGAGATGAAAAGGGATGAGGTCCGTGCTTACTCCTCTATCTCCTATCTTGTGCTTCGAATCTTCTTTAGGAACTTTCGCTCTCCCAAGGCGCCCCGAACCCTCCCGGCATCCAGTCAACCGGACACGCCATCGCTCTCGACTTCCTGCATCTCCGGGACACACATGGACTTAACATCCGTATCAATCATCTTCATCTCGTCCCTCCTTCTCTTCCGCGTCTTCCTTCCTCTTCAGTTTTCTTTCCACTTTAGTGTTGCCCCAAATGCCTCCCTACAAAGTGGGACTGATTGAGCCAGCCAGAATGCTCCCCCATTTCTCGGGTCTCCCCAGACTTTTCTGTCCCCTCCTATCCTCCCTGGAACTGGGATGGCCAAGATGGAGCTCTGACGGGAGCTGGCCGAGGAGAAGCAGAGCAGGCCAGGACCACGGTTTTGGAGGGGGTGCGTGTGGCAAACATGGTGATGGGAGGGATGATGGGTCACCAGCAGCAGGCAGAGGACCATCCCCAAAAGGTCCTGCTCACCTGTGTGGCACATTTCCATTGCCCTGGGCGCCTCTTCTTCACTTCACCCTCTTTTCTCTCATGGCATACCCGGAGATTTACTGGGGGGAGGCAGGCTGGAGAGACAGCACCTGCCAAACAATCCATGCCCCACCCCCGACTTCCCCACCTCCCCTGCAGCTAGGTTGGGGCCCGCAGCTTGTGCTGACCAATAGAGACTGCGAGTGAGGCAATTAACAGTTGAAGTGCCTCCTTCCCTTCCTGCTGTAGTGACTTTGGAGGCCCTGTATTCCAGACGGCATGCAGAATGGGGGAGGGGCTCCCAACCCCCACTGCACCTTATACGAGCAAGAAGTCAACTTCCATCCTAGGAGCCCCTGAGGTTTCAATGTTGTCCCTGCTGCATCGCCTGGCCTGTCCCAGAGAACGCTCAGAGCATCAAAATTAACTGAGTAATTGCTATTCTTGAGTTCTTTAATGTGATGATGGAAAAGCTGTCTCTGGAGCCATCCAGGGCGGCTGATGGGCGCTTTCCCTCCCCATCATCATGCCGCACAGATGGCACTTCCTGTTTGGTCACACCTCCCGTGGGCTTCTTCATCCCCCACTGACTCTGCCAGTCACCATCCTACACAGTCAAGTGTGCACAGTATTAGAGGTTTGCCAAGAACACATCCTTGCGGTTGCCAAGGCGTGTCTGTTGGAGGAAGGGTATTCTAACAGACAACGTTCACAGGAGAAACGGACTGCCCCAGGAGGCAGCCAACTCCTTGTCTCTAAGGTGAGCAAGTAGAGGTGAGATGCCCATCAGGGATTTGGGGGGACGGGGCATGAAGATGAGATAGCGCCTGAATGGGGAGGGGGTTGGAGAGGGAGGGCAGGGTAGACCAGATGGTTTTTAAGTCCCATTCAACCCTGAGAGTCTCCAGCATGGAGTCCATTTTTTTTTTTTTTTTTTTTTTTTTTTTTGGGAAGTGGATGAATGGATAAATTTTGGTCACTAAAAAAGTGAAGAACTTATGAAATAAAATAGCCTCGCGTAATGAGTAGGTAAGTATTGTTAACACTAACATTACCCTTTCTTAAGGGTGTATGCTCATGAGATCAACATTCTCGGCTCCCATGAGGTTGACAAATGGTGACCAGTGGTCATGACGTCATGTGAAACATATCCGTAATTTACACGTCAACCACAAGGAGGGCCAAGCTGAGGGAGGAGTCACAGCCTCGAGACAAACCAAAGTCATCATGGTAATAGCCCCATAATAAGGACATCAGTATTTTATCATGCACCAAGTATTCTCCCTGACATCCTGAGTGCTTAGAGATTCCTATCTCTGAGCTGATTGTCATATATCATATATTATCATAGATCTCTGAATTTATGATCATAGCCCTCTGGAGGAGAAGGGCTGCCATTCTCATGGTACAGATGGGCAGAGAGATTTTCAGAGATTTTTCCCACCCAGGAGCACATAGTAAGTTAAAGGGGGAAATCCAAGACTTGAACCCAGATCCTTTGATTGGAAGTGATGGATTTTCAAATAACTGAGCATATAAACTCCTGGCACTAGCAGGTGGGACCAAGCTCAATTCACATGCTCCTTGGTTCCTGAGGAACTTCCACTTTCTTTGTGTGGGGGGTGAGGTATAGCGAGGGTGAAGATAGCCCTGAACTGCCTATAGGCAAGAAGGAATTTTGGGGGGTAAAGCAATGGACTGGGGCACAGAGTCCTGGAATTCGGGCCCTGACTCTTAGTCTGACTCATTTCATCATATCCTGGGGGCCCGTTTCATCATTTAAAAGTGTGAAGAAAAACACTGATCCACCTTGCAGAATTTCTGTGAGGACCCAATAAGAAGATGGGGTGAAAACATCTTGAAAACCCTACAAAAACTAAAGTTCTTGTTTAGGAATACATTCAGGGGCAAGTAACAGAACTGCCAGCCATAGTGGTTTTAACAGCTGGAGCTTTATTTCTCCCTTGACAGAAGGAGCCCATGGGGTGGGTGCAGGGCAGGGCAGAAGGTGATGTCATTACACCATCCAGGGCCTGGCCTCTTGCTGGTTTTCTGCTCTACCTTCAACCTCATGCGGCTACTGTATACACCCAACATGGGTGCTGCACCTCTAGGCCTGCATTCAAGTCCCAGGCAGGACAAAGAAGGGAGACGGGGAAGAGTGGCGCCTATATTAGGAAGGGGAAAGTCTTCTCGGAAATGCAGTAGCTCATTGGCCAGAACTGCAAGCAAATGGCCAGCCTCTAGATCACACGGGAGGCTGGAGGTGTGAGCACTTTGTGGCCGGGCGCACTGCCCCGCAGAACAAGTCCAGGGTTGTGATGGAAAAGAGGGAGAGGCTGGGACTTGCAGTGCAGGTGGCCGGCAGCACCTGCCATGGCTCTGCTACTGAGAGATCTCCTGAGAACGGCGCTCAGTTCACGGGGATCTTTTAAATTCAGTCTCTGGACCGAGCGAGGGCAAATTGGGTTGCCTCATCCTTGGAAGAGAAAATCGATCCACAGGATTCCACTGTCAGAATGGGAAGCAGAGGCCGTCGGCCGGGGACTAGAGGAGGGGTGAGTGCTGCTGCAGGTCTGGGCGTTCCTCCGTGTCTCTCCCCACCTCCCCCTGCTCCGTGCGTTCATTTTCATTAGCCTCCTTCCACCGGGCAGGGCGGGCTGAATGCGAGGAGCTCATTTCTAGCGCTGTGTTTGTGTACGTCTCCACCCGAAGATGTCTAACCACAGGCTTCCTCCCGACTCCTGGCAACGGAGAGAAAACAAAACCACAGCAGCTTTCATTGCTGAAAACACAAAACTGACTCGTTTGCCTAATAAGCCCAGACAGAGGAGCTTTATTTCTGGGAGGAAATGCTCCCGACTCCAGTCCAAGGAGTCTCGGGTGGGCAGTCAAACCGCCCGATGAGGCCATGCGCTGACCAGGTGGAAGGATGCCACCCGCCCAGGGGGCAGACCCCGGGCGCCAGGAGCCCACAGCTGACCCACGGGGCCCGCACGAGGAGGGCATGCGTGGAGCAGAGGGCCCCTGCCCGCCCCGAGACACCACTGCCCTCTCCCACCAGCTCTGGTTTCAAAGCACCTGTTCCGTGCGTTTTGTATCCCTTTCTCTTATTTTCTGTGTTATTAATTTCAGGTACTGATCAATTCCCATGTTGTACTTTCTGTTTCTGTTTGCTTATTTTTTTCTAATTCCTTATGACGTGTATTCAGCTCCTTTATTTTTAGTCTTTCTTCTCTAATAAGAAGGCATTTCAGGCCATAATTTCTCCTACTTGAACTTTTTTGGGGATCCCATAGGTTTTGAAATAAAATGTTCCCCTTTTCATCTGTTTCTAGATGGTTTTTAATATTTGTTTTTTTGAAAAGATTTATTTATTAGAGAGAGCGTGCACATGGGAGAGGAGCAGAGGGAGAGGGAGGGAGAGAATCCCAAGCAGACTCCCCACTGAACATGGAGGCTAATGAGGGGCTTGATCCCAGGACCCTGAGATCATGACCTGAGCCCAAACCAAAAGTTGGCCGCTTAACTGACTCAGCCACCCACGTGCCCCTAATTTTCATTTTAATATTTCTTCTGATCCGTGGGTTATCTAGAACTGTGTTTATTAGTTCCCAAGCAGTTGAGGATATTTTCAGCCACATTATTTTTTTTATTTGAAAATTTTGGATTACAGTAAGAGATTGTGACCTATAAAATCTCTAATTTTAAATTAAAAAAAATTTTCCTTTGTGCCCAAGGATGCAATCGAATTTTATAAATGTTCTATGGGGAAGGAAAAGCTGAGCAGGTCAGACCGATGCGGAAAAGAATGGAGTCTTAACATGTCCTTGTTCTCCAGATAAATTGCCCCGTTTCAGATCTAGCTTCTCTCTGTTTCCAGCTGTGCGTCCACAGATGAAAGAGGGAATTTTTTGGAGCATTTCTTTTCCATCTTTAAAATGGGAACAATAGGAATACGCACCTGTTAGTGTTTCTGTGAAGATGAGAGGAGATTGTGTAAGGAAACACGCCTAGAGGGCTGCCTGACACAGAGTTACTAAATAGAAATATTGCTATTTTTATTGTTGGTTTGTTATTTTTGCAGAAAGGGAGGAAGCTTTACTGTTAGTGCCCTTAGCTTTATCCCTGCCGCAGAACTGTAGTTTCTGGTTATCGAGAGGCCTGGAAGGAGGAAAGAGGAAACGGATAGCTCGATGAAGCCACCACCCTCCCTGGGAGGGGAGCCACCTGAAACCCAGAGGAATGGGGCCACTTGCCCAAACAAATACAGCAATTTGGTGGCAAAGCCAGGCTTCTAACTCAGGTCTTAACTGGCCAGTTCCCCTCTCTCTGCTGGCGGTCACTCTAGTGTGTCTCTTGAGAGAAGAGGCGGTTGACCGGAGGTTGGCCTCTGTGGTGAGAGAGGGCTGGAAGCTCCTGGTGCGTGGCCACCTCTGAGCTCTGTCACATGACACCTTCACCATCTGGGAAGGGCAACTCTGAGGTCAGTGAGTTCGAAGGGGAAGCTGGAGAGAGAGGGTTAGTTGGGCGTGGTTAGATGCTTTGGACGTTGCTGTTTCATCGCTCACTGGGGGGCAGGGGGAAAGCAGGACCTGAGCTGGGGAAGGGGTCCTCCAAGGGTGGCTGTGCCCCTCTGGGCCTCAACCCCTTGTGTGCCAGTCTGCCGTGCTTCCTGAGCCCTGGGCTGACCTGGCAATGGCAGGTGGCTCCTGGCGACGCCATTGTCATCTCTCTGGTAGGTCTTTGGAGCAGACCTCAGGGGCAGTGGCCCCGCGTTACTGATCGGGGTGGCTTGGCAGCATGGCTGCACTCCTGGAAACTGGAGGGGCTGAGGCGACAGCTGAGTAGCACTGTGGAGGCCTCATTAAGAAGTAAGGCCGAACGGGATGTGGTGCTGGCTCCGCCTGCCGGGTGACATCTGACATCCTGAACCAGGACACCCTGGTTCACAAGGAACTGGGAAGCCACGGGAAGCTCTGTGGTGGGAGGCTTGGGAGGGGACGGAGCCACCGAACCAAATGACAAGGCAGAGGGTGGCTGAACTATCTGCTCCGGGCCTCTGATCTTGGGAGCACGGCCACTTATTGGCTAAGGATTCCCTGTATCCCTAAGCGTCACGTAACCATGCTGTGTATGGACCCTGAGTGGATAAGCATGCCTGTAACATACGTGCGTATGTCGAGGCAGCAGGACTCTGACTTCAGATAGGGGTATGTGTTGGGGGATAGGCTGCCGCCAGGTAAGAACTGGGATTCGGAGCTGATTCTGGTGGTTCCTCCATATAAAATTAAAAAAAAATATATAAGGCCCCTAATGATTATTATGAAAATGAAGTAAGTCAATGCTTGCAAAAGTGCTTTGTAAATATCAGCACAAATGCAGAAGAAAATTGCAGTATGTAGAATTTGGTCTGAAAATGCTAGCTGATTCTTTACTGTGTTCCCAGCTCTTTGTTAGAAGCTGTAGAGAAACCAAATGGGGCCCCATCGTGGGGCTAGTGGGCTTTCTCAATGCGAAATGCTTTGCAAACATCATCCTTTCCCTGACTCTTCCTCCGAACACACTTCGATTAAGCACCTATTATAAGCCAGGTTCTAGGCTAGGAGCTGAATAACATAGTGATCACTGTCTACTAGGAGACAGACTTGAGCAAATGGGTAGGGACCAAGCTCTGTTTGGTAGCCAGGGATTGTCCCAGAGAAATGGATGGGTTCAATGGGCATGAGGCAGGGAGGCAATGAGCAACAAGCTCAGGAAGGCTGCTGGAAAGCTTCTGATAGAGGAGACACTTGACGTGGCTCTTGCTGAAGGAGCAGGGATGAGGAGCAGAATCCTCGTGGGGAACCTGGGCAGAAGGAACAGCACACATGAAGGCACGGAAGTGAGAAGCCCACCCACATGAGGGCATCAGTGAAGCATGGGAACCTAATTCCAAATTTTGATCCCAGGGTGCACGTTGGAAGTCTTCTTGGAGCTCAAAAAAGCTGATGGCCCCAAATGGGATACACTCATTTAAAGAAACTCATCCTGGCATCAACACGGAGCAGGGCCAGAGAGGTTTGATCAATGATGGGTATAGTGGGAGGGGCACGGGGTTTGAAGCAGAGAGTCCTGCTTCTAATTCAGGCCTAGCTCTGTGACCTGGGGTCACTACGAACCTCTCTGAGCTTCAGTTTCATCCTCTCTAAAGTTGGGACAGGTGATCTGAACATTCTCTTGGAACTCTTCATCTCTGGCTGTAAGGAGTAACCACAAGATGGGGTGGGTGAGCGGATAGAAGCCAATTTCCACGGAACACAGCACTGGGGAGCCGAGAGGTTGTGATCTTGGCCCTTCTAGAGTCCACAGTGCAGTGGAAAGACAAGAAAGCAGCCAGTTACCACACAGTCTGGTCTGAGTTTTGGTAGGCTAAGCAAGGCCAGGACATAGGGAAGCCCAGAGGACGAGCCCCTTGTACCCAGCCTGGGAAGTTAGAGTGCAAATTAGCAAGGCAGAGATGCAAGCAAAGGGAACGCTAGGCGGAGGGAACAGAATGAGCAGAGGCATGCAGGGGAAAGCCTAGGCGGAGGGAACAGAATGAGCAAAGGCATGCAGGGGAAAGCCTAGGCGGAGGGAACAGAATGAGCAAAGGCATGCAAGGAAGGGGAAGCCAAGAGCAGTTCTGTCCAGCTAAGACACAGAATCTGAAATGGGGAGCGAGAAAGCTGCAGGAGGTAGACGGTGAACTTGCACGCTGTGTTAGGGAACTTGGTCTTGATCCTGTATGTAGCAGGGAGCTATTTAAGACTCAGAAGCACGAGACAAAGGATTAATCAGGCTTGGCCACCTGTATGGCAATTGCAAGTGTGTTCAGGGGAGGCAGGTCGCAGAAGTCCTAGATGCCAACGTGCAAGGCGCTTGTCGGAGGTTGAACCCATTCTACAGCAAGCCTTAGAGCGCCACTGAGCTTCCACGGACTGGGTGCCAACCTTCCCCACACAGTCCTCCCTTGCTCCAGAGAGGACGGGGCCCCCAAGCCCTGAGAAGTCTCCTCCGGGGCCCAGGTCTCCAGAGCCGCCCGCTGCAGGGATGGCCTCCTCCAGCTGTGGTGGTCTAGTCGAGGCTGCTCTAGCTGGGGCCCGCTGGGCTGCAAGGGACATTTCGCTCAAGCAAAATGATGACCTTGTGGAAAGGATAGGGCGGCATTTCACAAAACCCAGGGGTGAAAACTTCAGCCCTGCCTCGGAGGAACTAGAATCAGGAAATGTGGAGTCATGCCTGTGGCCCTTCTCCCAGTCCCACGGCTTTTCTTCCTCTTTCTTCTCTCCATCTTCGAGTCAGCTCTCTCTGGTAGAGGTGTGCCCCGCTGCCTGGCTCCTACTCCTCCCTGCCAAGTGCCCTGCAGAGGCGAGGAGAGGATCTCCCTCCTGGCGCTGGTCTTGGGGCGGGGGTGGGGGTGGGGCGGGGCAGGCCCTGTGGCTAAGCCCAGAGGGCAGATTTGCGGACTCCGGGCAGGGGGCCTGTGGCTAAGAAAGGGAGTGTCTCCAGACAGCGTGGCTCCAGAACCCGCTCCTGTGGGTCTGTTGGGGGCTGTGCTTGTGGGTGAGTGGGGTGCTGGCACTGGATTGGCCCCCGAGGGCTGTCTGTTCTATGGAGACCCTTACCCCAGGGGGGTGGGTAGGGTGGGTCACGGGGCTTTCCAGAGAGGCTGCCCTCCAGATACACAGTAGCCAGAATCCACAGAGACCTCCATTTACCTCTTCAAGAAGGGAGTTAGACCATGAAAGTGAAACCCAGAAAAATCCCCATGTTTGCTATTGTGGACAGTGAACGCAGACCATGAAAGTCTGAGAGGAGCTTGCCTTTGGGGTGTGGGAGGGCTGGGCCCTTCTGCTGCAGGCTTGGGGAGCAGGCAGGCTCAGAGCCCAGGGGTCCGGTAGGAGGTGGCCGCTCTTGGAGGAAGCATGTGAGGCCCTAGGGCGGGAGGCTACCCAGTGAGGAGCCAGCAGCCCGGGGCTGAGGAGGGGCCCAGGACTTCGGGGGTGGGCCTGCGGTGTTCCTTTGTTTCGGATTCCCCTTGGACTTCACACAGCGTTAGTGTGAGGAACCAGAAACCATTCGGTGGTTTTCCCCAAATGTGGAGGGATCTTCCCCCTCTCCCATCTCTCATGTTGGGCTTCCCGGGGGTTCTCATAAACCCAGGAGGTTCTGCCCTCGTTTTCCTATAGAAATGGATTCCCTGAATAGCAAGGGAGGCCAACTGTAGCTGATGGAACAGAAAGCAGCACCGGCTGCTGGGTGATGGACATGGGCTCCTATCCCCGTGCGCGGCAGCCCGTCCCCGCGGGACGGAGGAGGTGGCAGAGTGGCCAAGCATGTGGCGTCTGCACCACACACTTCAACTCCAGCACTATTGCTTACCGGTTGAAATTACAGGCAAATGACTTAAATCTTGCCAGGTCTCAGTTTTCTCGCCTGTGAAATGGGCATAATGACAGCTCAAAGAAAGGTAGTGGTCCTCAGGATTGCATGAGAGCCCCGGAGAAGCCCTGAGCATGGTGTGTGGACAGGCTCACCGATGCTAGCAGTTTCGATGATTACTGTCCCTGCTTTGGCGCACACTGCAGGGCCTCAGCCCAGTCCCCCGTGGTGTATTTGTTGGTTTCCAGTGCGCGGTTACAGTGCACCCAACGTGCTAGCTGTCCCTACCCCCTCTGTGTTAGCTAAACCCTGCCCCCCCATGCTGCCACCTCTGGGATGTCACTTGGGCTCTATCCTCCTCTGTCAGCACTGCTTGTGAGAGCTGCCTGGCCAGGACCCCCCCACACCTCTGGCGGCACCCCGATCTGCCCTCCTTCGTGACAGCCCTGCAGATCTGGGAAGGACCTCAGCACCTCGCCTCCACTCCCCATGAATCTGTGTGAGAGGGAGGCAGCATCCTGCAGCCCATCACATCACCGTGCAGCTCTGGGGTGCCAGTGCAATGCCCAGCCTAGCGGTGCGACCTTGGCTTGCTGCGCCTCAGTTTCCTTGCATGTCTCACAGAGATAACGCAAGCAATGTACTTTGTTCTCGGGGCTGTTGTAAGACCTGTAAAGCACAGACAATGCCGCCTGGCGCCTCTGAAGGGCTCGCCAGAGGTTGGCTACTTCTATAAAGTAATCTTCAGGGGCGCCTGGGTGGCTCAGTGGGTTAAGTGTCTAACTTCAGCTCAGGTCGTGATCTCGGGGTCCTGGGATCGAGCCCCGAGTTAGGCTCCCTGCTCTGCAGGAAGCCTGCTTCTCCCTCTTGCTCTGTGCTTTCTCTCTCTGTCTCTCAAATAAATAAATAAAATCTTTAAAAAAACAAACAAAATAAAATAATCTTCAAAAACATGACTTTTAATGGCTGTGTAACCTTCTTTTGTGTGGGTAGATCCTAATTTATTGAACCAACCCCTTGTTGCTGGCCATTTAGGCTGTTTCTGCTCTTTCACTATTATAAATAATGCTATAGTGAACATCTTGTGTAGAAATCTGTTTATATCTGATTGCTTCCTTAGAATAACTCCCCAAATCTTGTTTGTCTTAGAACAAAGCCCTGTCCCCCAGACTTTTCAATGATGCCCTTTGAAATAAAAGCGAAGCCTATTTTTCCATCAGGGAAAGAAACATATGGAACACGTTAACCAAGAGGTGGTTCGGGAGGAAGGTAGAAATAGGTTCAAGATGGGTTTGGATCCATTTCAGGATGTCTGACACAGAGTCAGTTACACAGCTCCTCTCGAGGCTCCTTCCCGGACAGAGGCGGAGGCGGGTCCTCAGGGACCCCTGACTTCTTTCTCTGAGGGAAATCCAAAGGGCTTTGATGTTGGTGTTGGAGGAACAAGGACAGATCAATAAATGAAGCCAGTGTGTGTGTGGACAACTCCTCCAGCCAGGAGGGGGCAATATCGCCTGTTTCTGTCATCCAGTTGGGGCTGGGATTTCTTGCTAACAAGGACTTCCTTTGTTGTTGTCTTAAAACTTTGGCTTACGTTTTATATATTTCTCTTGCCTGTTTTTCCTCCCTTCCTCCCACCTATATGCTTTTCAGAATCACTTCGGGTTGCCATTTATTCATCCATTCATTTGGTAGAAATCTATTACATGCTTCCCCCAGGCCAGACGTCAAGATTGTTTTCAGACCTGGGCGCCCTGGTGGCTCAGTTGTTAAACGTCTGCCTTCGGCTCAGATATTGATCCCAGGGTCCTGGGATCGAGTCCCACATCAGGCTCCCTGCTCAGCGGGAGGCCTGCTTCTCCCTCTCCCACTCCCCCTGCTTGTGTTCCTGCTCACTCCTCCCTCTCTCTCTCTCTCTCTCTCTGTCAAATTAATAAATAAAATCTTTAAAAAAAAAAAAGATTGTTTTCAGACTTTCTAAGACCTAGACACACTTGGCTTTGGAAGCTCCAACTCACACAGATCAAACATATTGCAAATCACCCATATTCTATATTAAGTGTATTTTTTTTCTGTAAAGAAAAATAAAGATTATTTTTATAACTTCGCCTTTGAAATTATTTGGCTACAAGTAATTCATTCGATCTATGCCTGGCTTTGATTTCTCAGCAGTTATGGAGGTACTCAAGAATTCTTGCAAAGTGAGAAAATCTAACCTGCACATCATTTTCAAATATAATGAAATTTTTATGAATACTAAATGAAACCATTAATGCGGTTGATGTAATATTTTGTTTTGGAGACGTTTCATTAAAATTTTATTAATTTCTATTGCAAAGTTTTCCTTCGTGTTTTGGGTCCAGTAATTTTGTTTCCAGGTCTCAAACTTTTAGGGATCTCTGAAAAGTTCCCAGGCCCTACAGTGCCCAGTGGCTAGCAGAGCCCTATCAGGCTTGGACGTGGAGAAACAAAAGAATCGGTACAGTTTTTACGGAGTTCCCAGGCCATCGAGTGACGAGTGGGTGAACTACTCCGACAAGAGTAAGTATTGCCATAATGGAGTGTGAATGGAGCCTGGTGAAAGTATTATCTGCTCTAGGTTGGGGCCAGAGGGAGTCAAGGAAGACTTGGAGAGAGCAGGTGTGCCCAAGTCAGAATGTGCACGGTGAACACTTTTCTAAGCAGGTTCCAGAAGGGAAGGACGTTGCGCGCTGAGGAAATGCAGAAGGAGCTGACTGGAAGAAGCTACGTATGAACAAGCTGGCTGACCACCCAGTTCTGCCCATGCTTCTCGCTAGGGCCTTGTTCTTTGGACCAGCAGCGCTGGTATTATCCAGGAGTTGGTGAGAACTGCAGTTTCAGGTCCCCCAGCCCTCCTCCCTGTCAGCAGGATCCCTGGATCTGAGCTAGGCCTCCTCAGGGTTGGGGCCGTGGGAGCTGGGGAGGGTGGCTGGGGGGCGGCCTGCGGAGCTGCAGCCCCAGGAGAGCAGTGGTTGTTCCAAAAGATGTTTTTTTCAAGTTTGGCCTGTGAGTCCATCTCTGTGGGTCCAGACGGCTCAACTGTTGCCTGAGGGTTGGGGCTTTTCCGTTTAGAGTCTCCTCCACCCATTGGGCCCACACTGTCCCTTCTGCTGGCCATCGCTCCAGACGACCTGTCTTGCCTGTTGGCTCCCTGAGCCGGCGCATCACCGATTACCTAATAGACTGTAGGATGTGTGTGTAATTTATTCCTGCGAGTAATTGATCACGTTAGGATGAGCAGGGGCGGTACTGGGAAGGAGAGGGAGAAGAAGCATCGATAACCAGGGGAAGGAAACCTGCTACAGTCAGCTAATTACATGTCCCTCTGAGGCAGCTCTTTCAACACGATGGCCCCTCTTGCTGGTGTTGGCCCACCACCCCTTCCCCTGCCCCCATGTGCAGATGGGCTTTCTGATGAGTGAGGGCTAGCAGAAGGAGCTGTAGACCGAGCCAGGAAACTCAGCTTCTAGGCCAGGTCGTCTTAGTCAAATCGCATCTCTCTGGGCCTCAGTTTTATGGACTGTAAAATGGGAAGGCTGGATTAGTGGTTTCCAAACTGGTTGATAGCAGAATCACCAGGGATACTTTAGAAAACATGAACTCCAAAGTCGTGGGCACCGTAGGTGCCGAGGGAGGCCAGGAGCCTGTGCTGTAACCAGCACCTCCCGTGACTCCAACGCAGTTGATCCGACAGAAATTGGGGAACCACTGGGTTGGAAAGATAACCTTAAAGCTCCCACCCTGCTCTGACCTTTTCAGACCACCGATAAGGCTGGACTTCCCCATGACCTCTTCAGGGCATCAGGACATTCCTGCAGAAAAGAGACTAGGAAGGCAGGAGACCCATCGTCTACTGCTGGCTCTGTCACCAGTTCACTAGGTAATAACAGTTTCTCCTTGTGCCTCGCCTAGCTCACTGCTAGGCACGCTGACGACGCCACAGTGCTTTTATCTGAGCACCGGGTCACTGTGTGCCTGGGGAGATTTCAAAACACAGCTGATTGGTGCCCATTGTCTCTGGGATTCTGCTTCACTACGTCTGGGGTAGCTCAGGACGCCGTGTGTTTAAAGACTGCCAGGTGCTTCTGAGGATCCGCCAGGTCTGTAAGCCAGTGACCTGTCCAAAGGCATCGCAGAACGGGACACTGGTGTCCCATGGGACTGACTGGGCAGCATCCAGTGCGAGGAGTCCACTGCCATGTTGGCATGAAGCAGGGGCCATAAAAGGCAGAACCTCACTCACTTTTGGCCTCCGTGTGAGTCTAGACACAGCCTGTTAGTGGAGTGCTCCGCTGCATTGCACCAGATGGAACGGAAGACCTGTGTTCAAGCCTGCTGCTCTTACTAATAGGGTAACATTGGGCACGTCGCAGGAGCAACATGAGTCTGCTTCATTGTCTGTAAAATAGAGAGTCAACAGTAACCCCGTCCAACCTCCCAGCCCAGTTAGGAGGATTAAATGGAACAACCTGAAGCCTGTGCTCTGCGAGGGGTCACACTCTGTGCAAATTGTCCACCTCATCCCAGCTGCCCCCAGCTGCCTGCCCTGGGACCGGTGGGAACCAGGCTGGCTGAATGTCAACATCTCTCACTTCGATGGAGGCAGGACTTGGAGGGTCTGCTGCTGCACTGGGCCAGAGGGCCAGCAAGGAGATAGACCCAGCTTTCGGTTCAGGTGGAAACTTCTGGAACTCCTCCACTCTGCACAGCCACCTGCCCGACCCAGGGCTTTCATGTTTTCTCTCATCTTTTGGAGCTTCGCATGACAGCCCCAGCTCAGCAGAGGCCTACGTGTTGGCTAGTCAGTGAGGCTGAAGCCAGTTCTTTGGGGACTGAAGTCTCTCAAATCTGTCGCTTTCTGTCCGTCCCCTTCTTCATTACCTTAATCCAAGGCACCTTCAAGGGACTAGTATCGCTCTTTGCAGATGTGTTCTTCTCATAGCAGCCAGAGAAGTCCTCTTATGGTATAAATTTGGTCATGCCGTTAATTTTGACTAGCTTCCCATTCTCACCGAATAAGATCTAAACAGGCATGTGAAGAATGTCCTGGAATGGCTTCTCATTCTCTCCGCATGAACGTCACACATCTCCCCCTGGTTTCTGTGGCCCTGTACAACCCGGCTTCTGTCTATCCTTACTCTCTGTGTGTTCTCCCAACCTGTTACTGTCCTTCCACATGCATGGCTACACACCCTCCCCCCGCCCCTGTGTGGTGAGGCAGGACCAGATCTTTGAGCTCCAGTCAATGGGGTATGAGTGCAAGTGACCCACACCACCTCTGGCCTTGGCCCCCACATGTCCCCCCAGGCACTTTTTCTTTTTGGCTGCATGCAGAGGATATAATGGACCACTCCAAGGAGACCTTAGGGGACAGCAGTGAGCTTGGGTTTTGAATAACTGAGCAAAAGACCACCCACCAAACGCCTGATTGGTTCTGACAAGAAGGAATAAACCTGTATTGTCTGAAATCACTGGGACTTGGGCTTGTGTGCTCTAATGGCCTGACTCCTGGCCTTTTCTCAGTTCCTGGAATATGTTAAGATCACCTTCCTGCTTTTGCCAGGCTGTTCCCTCTGCCTGGAATGCTTTTCCCTATCATTCCTCACATGCTTGTGTCTTTAGCTTCCCGGTCTTCATTTAAACATCACCACCAGCTTTTAGCTTGTATCTGTGTTCTTGTCTCTTTTTTAATAGAACTTTTTACAACTTCTATGTCGTTTTTCTTAAATTTGTTTTTTATCGTGCTCCCCCCACCCCAGAATCAAGGGCACAAATCAAGTTCGTCTCACTCCCCTGTGTATACCCTATGCCTAACAAAGTGTCTGACGAAAAGTAATCACTTAACAACTATTAGCTGATGGATTAAAGGAATGAATGAACAAATTATGTATGATTCAGTTCAATTCAATTCAAATATTTACTGGGCACCAACTTTGTGCCAGGCACCTTACACACATATAATGTATTCTCTACTCAATCCTCATTAAAATCCTGGTGGGTAAGATCATTATCCGCCTTTTTCATATAGGGATCACGAGGCACTGCTAGCAACCATAACCCAGATCCTTCGCCATGGCATCCTCCAGTCACCGTCTTACTTCTGAAAGGTAGGTACTATGATCTCCATTTTGCAAAAGGAGAGACTCATGCTCAGACAGACCGAGTCACTTTCCCAAGGTCCTGCAGCTAATGAGGTCATGGAGCTGGGATTTAAACCGAGGTCCAGGGGGAGGGAAGGCAAGAGAATGGAGACACGCCTCTCTTACAGGGCCATCCTTCCTGACAGCCTCATTAGAAGTCCCCAGAGAATATCCCGAACAGGGGTGGAAATGAAGACGTGGAATTTGTCCAGAGTCCCCTGAGCTTGGTTTGCAACGGGATTTCATTTTAAATGCAGGACCCATTCTCCTCCCTGGCGCCTGGGATTGGGGGGCGCCATTTTGCATTCTGGGAATGCAGCTCCTGTGACCTTGCGTGAGCCGGGCTGGGCTGGCCAGCACCGATAAGCTGGAGGCATGAGTGCCCAGGTTCATCTGGGGAGAGCAGCCGGCGCTGTCGATAGGCAGAGAAAATCTGTGATTAATTATGGCAGATGAAAGTATGAAGTAATGACTCCTTCTTGAGGGCTGGGCAAGCTGAAGAGCCTGGCTCTCTGGATGCGTTTGGAGACTGCACAGCCCCTTCTGAAACCAGCAGTAAACTTTAATGGCTGCAAGTTCTGTGACTTGGCAGGCTGCGGATTGGATGGTGTATAGAACTCATGAATTCTCCGGGGTGGGAGCTAATTAGGGTGCAATTTTTCAATTACGGAACATTGAGCGAGCCTCTCCCCGGACCCCCACACCATCCCTCAATGGATACACTCCATTTGTCTGTTTTCCTTTATTTCTTAATCATCTGATGATATGACAGCAATTATTTGTCATTTGGAAGAGAAAATCGTCACGGAGCTATTGTTTGCCTCCTGAAACCCCAGCTCTTCTGTGGAGATGGTTACATTTGATAAATGTTTTGCATTCCCGCCGCGCCTCCCCCACTCCCACGGGGGGTTGGTGTGGCAACAGGAAAACATTAGCCTGTGACGCTAGCCTGCTCTGATTGAAACGCCATTTGTAGAAAGGCCTGGAAAAGAGCAGGATCGAGTTTAAAAGAGCCGCAGCCCAGAGCTCCAGGCCCACCCACGTCACCTAGGTTGAGGCTGTGGGACATTTGCTTGGGGAAATTTGGTCACTTCTCTGAGCTAATAAGCCAGCATCAGAATCAGGAATGCAAAACAGAAATGGAGCACAAAGAAAAAAGGCAAAGAAGAAAGCTGCGCTCCGCCAGAAATGGGAAAACTTAAATGACTTTGTTTAAATGTCATGGTACTCTCAAAGCCCTGTTCTCATATGTATGCAAGTTAATTAAATGGAAAAATGTCAAATTAGTTGCTTAAAATATTAATGGCAGGAATTATCCCAGATTCTAGAGCAGGCAGAGTAGAGGAAATGAACCCTTTAGGGCTTAACCCTTTTTTGGGTCATCTTCCTCTCACAAAATAGAGCTTTCTTTCAAGCATGAAAAGATCAGTCACAACTAAAGAGTTTTGTGGGTTTCAGGACCCGAGCTTTCCAGTGGGTCTGCAACCTGTCATTCCGTCTGTGATAGAGAACTCACTAGTGCCATTTACTTCGGCAGCACCGGCTTCACGTGGGGGATTTGAGGTTTCCAGAAAGGCCCAAATAATCATGACTGTGTCCCAGTGGTCTGTTCTGGGGCCTGGGTTGGGTCCATTTTTTTTCTTTTGGTTTTTGAAGGGTATTTTGGTTTAAAGTACCCATTACAATGCAAAATAGGAAAAGATGGTACAAAGAGGGGTGCCAGTGTTCTACTCACCAAATGTTTACTCAGTACCAAGGAGTTCTGAAGTTGTGCTGAGCAAAATGGTGGGAAAAGGGTGAGTCCTAGACTCAAGGGCTTTGGATCTGGCAGGGAGAGGCCACAGGGTTCCGAATCTAGTCTCATGTTAGCATGTAGGGGAACTGAAACCCTGAGAAAACAAGAAACGTTCCAAAAGTCACACTGCTACTGAGTAGTGATAAAGCTCATTTGTTCATGCAACACAGTTCCTGCCCACCTCTCCCCGGGGACTTCCATATATTTGGGGACCACAGGGCAATAGACACAGGCCTGTGCATGCCACATGCCTGACACTGTGGAAGGAAGGGCCGAGGATGGAAAACGGGGACATGGTTATCAGGGAGACCTTCCCTCTATCAGCTACCAGCATTTACCACCCACCGTGGCAACCAACTCTCCGTGCCCACAAAGGCAGACAGGCCAGGAAGGCAAGTGCTGTCTGTTGAGAAATTATGACTACTCACCATACAGACACACTTAAAATCACCGTGGGGAATTTGGTAAGTTCGACCCTGACAGATGTTATCCCTCTTTAACAGATTAGGAAAGTAGGTGAATCTCTAAGCCAAGGAAGTGGCCGAATTGAATCTGCAGGAATTGATAATTCTACAGGAGGCAATGGGATGTCGGTTTACTAATAACTGCAAATTAGCAATAGAAATACCAAATAATAGGGGTAAGGCTCAATTTCAAGTGGTATCCTCAGAAGCGGAGAGGAGATATTCTGAGATGCTCTGTGGGAAAAAAAAAATTCCAAAAAATTTAGGGAAACCCTATATATATATATATATATATATATATATATATATATATATATTTTGTATCAGACAGTGAGGTCAGCTGAATCATGGACCCCGAATACATCCACATCTTAATCTCCAGAACCTATGAATGCTACCTTCTATGGCAAAAAGGACTTTGCAGATGTGATTCAGTTAAGCATCTTGAGATGGGAAGATTATTCTGGATGATTCGTGTGGGCCCAGTGTAATCACAAGGGTCCCTATAAGACAGGGGCAGGAGGGTCAGAGTGAGGAGGAAGAAATGTCATATAACAGAAGCAGAAGTTGGAGTGATGCACTTCTTCGAGAGAGAAGCCCTTAACCAGGAAATTCAGGTGGCCCCTCGAAGCTGCAAAAGGCAAGGCAGCAGGTTCTCCCCTGGACCACCCCCCCCCCCCCCCCCCCCCCCCCCCCCGCCACCCCAGAAGGAACTGGCCCTGTCAATATCTTGACTCTAGCCCAGGGAGACAGATTTTGGAGCTGTAAGAGAATAAATGGGGCTGCTCTAAGCCACTCAGTTTGTGATCATTTGTTACAGCAGCAATAAGAAACTGATACAGGCCATTCCTGCTAAGTGCTACTTTCTCATTCCTTTGTCAGAAGAGGTTGGGTGGGGCAACTCTGGTTCAGATTATAGGTTGCTTTTAAGTCTCCTCATCAGCTGCATTCTGGGAGAGTGGCTGCCAGGGCTGTGCTCTTTTCATGGCAATGGCAAAAATGGGAGAGCAAACTAGCAGACGCTCACCATGTCCGTGGCCATTTCAGCCCCAAGACACTCCACTTCTGCCCATCTTCCATTGGTCACATGGCCAAGCTGAACATCCGTGAGAATGTGGAACTATACACAGCCTGGTCTAGGGGGAGGCACTGCAGAATCACATAGCAAAAGGCAGTGATGCATGATCCTCACACTGGGGAGGGGAAGTAAATAGTTGCGACCCACCATGCTTTCCTTGAAGATCCATAATTCATGTTAACATGTGGACAGCTCTGAGAAGTCCTGCAGAAAATAAGTTTGTCTAACTCTGTTCACACAGTGGTCCCCCAGCTTCTTGGAGAACAGAGCCCGACTATTATCCTACAGGGTTAATATTTTGAGACATGCTCATGAAGTTCAAGGGAGAAGACAGTGGGGCTTCACTGGGTCTTGGAAGAGTGGATTCAAGCAAGCAATGAGGCTTTTACCACTGGTGGAGCAAAACTGAAAGGTTTTCATGTGAGTTCATGTCCCCTCTCCTCAAGGGACCCTTTCTCATGAGAATTTTATCAAATACTCCATTCCTTCATGGACAAGAAGAACCCAGAATGATATCCTTGTTGTCTAGAAGAGCAAACACCACTGTCTGGGGTCCAGTCTGTCCTAGCCCCAGGGCCCCTTGGAAACTGCTCAAAAGGCAGGCGCTCACCTCTCATCTGAGAACTGGAGCATCTCCTGCCAGCTTGGCTTCCTACAAACAAGCATGGATTTGGGAAGTGTTGCTGGGTGGGAAACAGACAGAGGTGGGTGAAGCAGGTTTCCCACCAGAGTCGATCATCAGGCCCACTACTAGAAGTTTTCCCCTTCCCATGAGGACTTAGACAAGGAACAGGCAGAGGAGCAGAAAGGAAGTCTCCCAAGTTAGGCGCTGTCAACTCCAACCCATGCAGGTGAACGGACTCCCTGACTCCAGGAGGCCCCCAGAGGAAAGCGGGGAGACTCTTGCCTGGGGAGGCCTCTACTGCTGTGAGAAACAAGGGTGAGGAGGACACGCTATCCCCATGCCCTGACTGCCTCCCTCACTGTGAGTCACCACAGCGCTGCCAGGGGAGGGCTGGCCACTCTGTGGGATGATGACTTATTTGACACACTTAATTAGCCTATTTCCATGTAACATGTTTTAACGGAGGCCATTACAGCCTAATAAAAGGAAACAATAGTGCCATAAATCCCAGGATCAATAGAAGGGAAAGCAGCGAGGCTGAGAGCCGCTTCCTCTGAAAGACCCAGAGGGGCTTCAAGAATGCAATTCCCCTTGAAATTGAAGGATGAGGGGAAAGAATGTGTGCCGGTTCACCCGCTTGCCTGCTCACCCACACATTCAGCAAATAGTTAGAGGGGGGCCAACTCTGGGCCAGACTCTCCCTGAAGCCCCTAGGAGGTAGACAAAAGGCACAGCCTGGGGGAGGAGAAAGACATAAGAGCAAGAATGTCACCGTTCAGTGTGGCCAATGTTATGAACAAGAGCTGGAAAGAGAGACCTCCTGGAGGCAGAATATTTGAGTGGGTTTTGAAGGATAAACAGGAGTTTTCTGGGTGGAGAAGGGGGTGGGGGAGGACAATGCCGGAGCGGGAAGAGCACATGGAAGGCACAGGAAAGAGGCGTGGTCAGTTTGGGGAACCAGGAGTGTGAGAGAAGCAGAGAGAAAGTGTGGCTGGAGAGGTATATTGGGGCACTTTGCCAAGCTGGATTTGGGATTCTTTGGAAATTCAGAGAAGTTGAAGAAGATCAGAAGGCACAGTTACCAGAGACAAGGACTGCAGAGAAAACTCCCTGTCTTGGTTCATTTGGGACCCCTGAAGCACTGGCCTGGAGCCCTGTAGCTTTGCAGGAGCCCCAGTCCCAGGCAAACCTAGGAGGGACACTGCAGCCCCTTCTGCTTTGTACCCAAGCACAAGTACACCCCAGCACCGAGATGAGCACAGCATCAATTCACAGCTTTGGAGGCAGGACTGGAAGGGTGGAGGAAGACAGCAGAACAGCAACCTGTCCATTCACTTGGAAGGAAGCGGATTTATCAGGAGAAGCTGCAAAGCTGTTCTGAGGGACACATGAGACATTCACACTCTGGGTGGCTCCAGGAGACACTGTCAGCTCCTTGTGGGGCACCATGCCTATGTGGGATGCATGCCTGTGGCTGGTTAGCCTAGTGGTGAAAGCCTCAAATAGCAAGGTCAAGGCCACCAGTTTAGTCTGCTTCTCTGGTAATGATAATCAGAAATCTCACAAGTCTGTGTGTTGTATTCAAGAGGAGAGCTGGATTTTAGCTTAGCTTGGCCATCAACCAGTGACTTCACTGTGGACTACTCACTCTATCCGTCTGAATTTCAGTTTCTTGATGGTAAGTAAGTTTTCCTCAATAACTCTCTCTTTCACCAAAGCATCCAATCAAGTCCAGTTGATTTTACTACCCAAAATATGTGTCCTTCCCCCTAGTTGAGGCCACCATCCAAAGTTGTCACTGGGGAACTGTCGGAATCCCTGAGCTGGGTTTCTGACTTGCCCTCTTGCTTCTTTGTTATGCAGGGTCTGCATCAGGTCTGTGAGGAGCCAAATGGTAGATATTTAGGCTTTGTGGGCCACATATGTCTATGTTGCATATTCTTCTTTGGTGGAAACAACCCAAATGTCCACCAGCTGACGAATGGAGAAACCAAATTTGGTATGTCCATTCAGTGGGATATTATTTAGCCATGAAAAGCAATGAAAAGTAATGCTATAGCATCACTGAACCTTGAAAACATTACACTAAGCAAAAGAAGCCAGACACAAAGAGTCATATATTATAGGTTCCATTTAGAGGAAATACCCCGAACAGGCAAATCCAGAGAGACAGAAAGTAGGGCTGGGGTGACATGGGGAAATGGGAGGTAGTAGCCAAAGGGTATAGGGTTTCTTCCTGAAGAGATGAAAATGTTCCAAGATTGACCGTGGTAAAGGTTGCAGGAGTCTGGGAGTACACTAAAAGCCATTAAATTGTATACTTTAAATAAGTGAATTATGTGATATGCAAGTTATTTCTCAGTAAAGTTGTAGTAAAAAAAGATTTTCAGCTCCCAGGCCATACAAAAACAAGCTCTGGACCACATTTGGCTGATGGGCTGTGGTTTGCTGATGCAGAGGTTCTCCATTACTGCCAGAATGCATGGTCTAAACTGCAGATCTGATTTTGTCACTCCCCTGCCGGGAAATCGTCAATGGCTCCCCATTACCCACAGGAAACATGGCTCTCATACATGCTCTTCCACACTCTGTCCCCAGCTAGTTTTCCTAGTCTCCTGTCCTTCCTTCCCTTTCCATGCAGCAACCCATGGATGACTGTTCATATCCACTGACACTTCCCTTTGATTTGGTTGCTGTCGTACCCTCCTGCCTTCAGGATTCTGGAAAGTTCTTACCTATCTCTCAAACATTCACTCGGGTATCCCTTTTCTTTACGGCACCTCCTGCAGTCTCCCTGGGAGAATGGCTTGCTACTCTAGTATTGTGTGGTCTTGGATTATATTTATTTGATTAGATATACGCTTCCCTTCAGAAGACCGTGAGCTCCTTGGCAGCCGCAAAACAGGAACCATGTCTTTTCTTCTCGGCCCAACCAGTGCTCAGCACAAATTCCTGGCATGCAATCAACATTTAGGAACTGCTTTCTTGAAATGAATTGAAGCCCGGTGAGATGCAGACTAGCTAAATGGTGTCAGAGGAATTTAGTAACATCTCCCTGCAGAAAAGGCTCCTGGAGGGTATCTAGTAACCTAAGCCCCTCATTTTCTGTGATAAAACTTGCTGGAGTCATCCGGCAAGGAGGGGCTGAGGCTCATCTCGAGTCTGAGTCTCTGCCCCCCACCCAGGGGCACTTGTGTGCACACCTCCATGTCTTTCCACAATCCCTTCCAACAGGAACACTCTGGGATTCAAGGCAGCTTGCCACAGGCAGGTTTTACAGCCATCTCCTTGGCTCGGCTCAGCCAAACATCCCGATGGCCAACGGCCCACTTCTCCTCTCTCCCTCCCATTCTGGGCACTCTTGAGCTCCCTAGAAGGGGTCAACTACCTCAGGAGTGGCCGGAAGAGCAGGCTGGCACCTCCGGGCATGGCTGGCTGCAGGAACAGAGAATACGGCCCACCTTCTAATGCAGCTGGAGCAGGAGGTTGGACCCCAGCTCAGACTTGGATCCCGCAGTTTGATTTATGGCATTGGGTACTTGTTGCACACATGTTTTTCCTATGCCTGGGAACACCCCAGGCTGACTGTGGTTTTCTCTTTCTTTTATCGTGTGTGTGTGTGTGTGTGTGTGTGTGTGTGTGTGTGTGTGTGTGTGTGTCTGAGACAGACAGAGACAGACAGAGACAGAGACAGAGAGAGAGACAGAGAAAAAGAGCCCTTTCCGAGCCAGATGCAGGATCAAAGTCCTTACAGGCTGCTAAATAATTACAGAAGATTCTGGATCTCACGAAGGCGTGTTCCTTCCATGCAGGTGCACATAGAGCCGGATACCACCTCTGTAGCCTGCTGCAGAGCTCCTACTGTGCGCCAGCCCCTCGTGCTATCGCGCTCTGCAGGAACTCCATGCGCTGGAAGGGACCACCCTTGCCTGCAGGACGAGAGAGCCATGACCAGGAGAGGTTCCAAGGTGTGCTTAAGGCCCCCGGTTAGCTAGACCCAGAGTCTGGCCTTTGTTTCTGCCACCTTAGCCCTTGAACCTTCCCCTCCTTTGGCCAGACACCAGGTTTTCGCCCTGACAAACATGCGTTCCCCACCTCCTCAGAGCTTCACCAGGCTTTGTGGATAGCTTCACTGAAACTGACCAAACTCTGAGCTATCTTGGGAGCCCATGTCTATGTTTTTGTATCGATTCGCTGACTTCTTAAGCTGCAGATCAGCCCTTCCAATGTGTCTCATTAGCAGAGGAAGAAATCCAGGACTTGGGAGGTCAAGCACCATGCCCAAGGTCAGCTAGCTACTGGATGACGGAGCTAGGGTGTGGGCCCTGGTCCCTTACGTCTCAGCTAAAGCCCTTTCTGGCCTGCTGTGCTGCCTTCATGCTCTCTTTCTCCACCGAAACCTTTTGGACCCTATCTCTTAATACTTCTACGTCGGCAGTGCGTCGGATCCCTCCCCATCTTAGGTTGTGTTTATATCCTCGGGTGCTCTCTTGTCTCCATGGGCGGAAACAGCACCACAGATCAGGAGCCAGGAAACGCAGGGTCTGTTCGTGGTCTCCATGGGGCTGTCTTCCAGGGGCCTCCAGTCCTTGCCCAAGCCAGCCCCCGCACGGACACCAGCAGAGATTGGAGAGGCCTTCCCTGTTATAGAGAGGAAACATGGAGGCCAGAAAGGATAGAAGTGACTAACCCAAGCACACACAGAGATAACAGTGCATTGAAGACCAGGAATCGTTGCCTCTGCTGCAAGGTGTGGCTTCAGGTTTGAGGAGACATTTATCTTTTCCTGTGGGTTCTCATGAGCAGGGAGGCAGATGCCAGCTCTTCTGAGGAAGCACATCCTAATGCTCAGTGTTGTGTGAATGGCAAGAAGATTATCTGAGAGGTAGTGAGCTCCCTGTGGCAGGAGATGACCAAGTAGAGACTGCATACATCCCCCCCGCCCACCATGGAGCAGGGTTCAGATTGAAGAGAGCTCAGTGACCTTGGTGCCTACCCAAAGGACCCAGGCCCCCAGGATCCAAGACTCTTGCCTTGGCTTCTGGGAGAGTCCGGGAGCAGGAAGGGGTGGGGTATAGCTTCAAAGATGGAAAAAGCCTTCTGCCTAAAGAGGTCTCATTGTTGGCCATCAACCAAAGATTTTGTGGGACACTCTCAGAAATGTAGGTCTGGGTCTTATTATTTAACCTTAGCCCCTGAGGGGGTGTCTAACTAGATGAAAGGCCACAGCACTTAGAGGGTGTTACAGAACCTCCTTCTGGGGCAACAAGCCCAGGAAATGGGCGGGGATGGTCCCGGACACTCAGTTGGAATTGATGGGGCAGATGAAAGTGCAGGAAATGGCCCAGCATTCAATTCTGGGTAGGAGCCTGGACATCTTCATGGACCAGCCAGCTATGGGCCTCAGCATCCAGGAGGCCTCTTCTGGGAGGTGAAGCAGGTCTGGATGCCTATCCTGGCCCTGCCTTTTAGGAGCTGTGTCTGAGGGTAAGTCACGTGGCATCTGAGTGTGGGTTCTTGCTCCCCAGGTCATGGTGGAAGACTCCTCCCTCTCGGGGTGGGGAGTGCCCTCCAAGAGCAGGTATGTGATGTTCCTAACACAAAGCGGGGGGAGGAAGTGGTTTGACTCCCACAACTTGATTTACTGAGAGTGTAGTCACTCTTCGAAGTTTCTTCCTCAGCCTGGGGCCAGCCCAGACCAACTGTGGTTTCCTCTCTCTGTGTGTGAGCCTGTGCGTGTGTGCGTCCAAGTGTGCATGCGTGTTAGTTATCTGCCTTTCGCTCGCCGCAGGGTTCATGTCCACCAGAGGAGCCCAGGACTCTCAGACCTGCCCAACATGCTGAGACGTTCTGGGGCCCAGCCAGACACATGTATACCACAGTGAGTGTTCATGGGGTGCATCTTGCAGATGGATGGAAGCGGGGTGGAGTAGCGCCCCTGGAAAATCAAATAATGGTGCAAACCACAGAAAATAAAACCATGTAAGCAATAGAATTCTCTTCATGCTAATTTTGGCTCTTACAGATTTTCTTGAATCTTTGATGACTGATGTTACCTCCGTGTTAGAATCTGGTGTAAGTTGGGGTCTGATTTGACACCAAATAGGCTAAGTTAGTTATTTTCTTTGTCTCTAGGTTCTTTCAAAGAGCACCTTCCTTTCCAAACTGTCCCCAGAAAGCTTTGAGAATCACTGAGAGTCACTGCTCAGAAAGGAAGATTTTTCTTCAGCAGGTAAGAGACTTGGGAATCTAGATGTGGTTCTCCACCAACCCAGCTTTCACAAGCTGCCTCACCGCGCCTGGCCTCGGTTTGCCAGTTCCATTTGGAGAACAACAGTGCCTGCTCCATCCTACCTCACAGGGGCGAAACAAGCCTCGAGAGGATGGAAGCCTGTGAAATGCCAGGTCAGTCTGTTCCAGCTGATTCTTACCTGAGGGGATTCCACAGGGGCTCATACTGACTCCATGCAAAGGTTACGCCGGGCTCCAGGACTTAGAAATGGCAGGACCTACCTTCTGCCCCCACAAGCTAACAGTCTATCCTTGTTTCTAGAAGTGGACTTCTAGTCTTTGTGCCTAGGTAGCATAGAATCTGTCTGCCTGTGAGTTTTTGGCTATGGAGTTCTTGCCATGCTTGCCTACCTTCCACCCCGTAACGTTCTCATCCTTTCCCCACCCCACATGCTTGCTCTGAGGCATGTAGAGCTAGAGGGGTGTTTGTATGCCCTCTTGTCCATGTGGGAGTTGGGGCCAATGAAGCTCAGAGGAGTGACTGACTCACCAAGACCCCATAGCAAGATGGCAGCCGATGGGAGACCAGGTCTCCTGCCTCCTTTCTTTTTGAACAGATTATCAAGTTTTATTACCTTTATTTTCAACACATGGGGCATATAGTATAAAGATTTCATACTGGGCAAATGATATTCATTAAGCCAAAGAAAGGGGAAAAAAGGGGAGGAATTTGCATTGTTTTGACTACACTGTTTAAAATACAAGTATGCAGATTTTATCTCCGAAAAAAATCTGAGTTGTGTTTATCCAGGACTTAAACTGAGCCTAGGACTTTTTCATACCTCGGTTAGAAAGAAAACACCACAAAAAAACTCCAGAAAACATAGACTAAAAGTTCTTTGGCTGCCGAGGCCATAAGGGCTCTTTTGCATTGTGCCAAGAGAGGTGACATCGGGCCAGAGATTAAAATGGCTGTGTCTCACTTTGTGCAGGTTACTGACTTGCTTACTTGTGATACTACGAGAAGGTGGCTGGGAGGGGACCAACCTGTGGGACCAAGGGAGTACGTGCAACAGGAACATCATGTGTACTGATTTCGTTGCTGGCAATGAGTTGCAAAGCCGAAAGACCCCGGAAGCTCAGAGCTCGAGCGGCCCAGAACAGTCACTGTGTCACCAAAGGGCCCGGAGGAATGGCAGGCCTGGAATTTCAGCAGCGCTGGGGCTCAGGATTAGTGAGGGAGGACATCTTAGGGAGGGCCCTTCCCAGCTTCCGTGGACCCAGCCTGGACGAGCCAGTGCCTGGGAACACCTCCATGTCGTCCAGGGCCCGTGCAGGCAAAAGAGTAGGGTCAGTGTGCCTGGACCAGCCTTCCGGCCTGCCTTCCCTCATGGGAAAACATGGTTTTTGTTCCAGGCTTGTCCAAGACTGTCTCCTTGAATTCTTCTGCAGAGGTCACCACCTGGAGACCTGTGTGGGCTTTATGTGGGCTGCAGACAGGTTTAATTTGGTGGGATTTTCCTTCAGGAACTGTGATCGCTGCCAGCATCGAAACACTGCGTGTTTTCACATTTAAAAAAAAAAAAAAAAATCTGGCCTTTCTTGGGAACTTGGGAAATCTGGCCACACTGGGCTGGGTTCCTGCATGACCACCATCGCCGGAGCTGGCTGCGTCCCCGTCACCCTTCCGCCAAAAGCGTGTTTGCCTTGGCCCCCACCCAGCCGCGCTCACCCGTTCTCACTACCTTGCCTGGCCCCGTGGCACGTGCATCTGTGACCCACGCCCGAGTCTGTATCTTATAGGTGAGGACACTGAAGACCTGGTTTAAAAGTCATGGAAATCGAAGCTCCGAGGGTCCTTTCCCCCAGCTTTGTATTTGCTGTCCCCACCCTCCACTAACCCCCCAGGGATCTCCCCACCCTTTTCAAGCAGCTCCAGGCTCTGCTGGCCAAAAACAGCTGGACCAACAGGACACGCAGAGATGTTGGCCCTCACCCCACCCCCACCGTGGAATGTGCCCCCCGCCCCCCCCCCCCCCCCCACAGCCATTGCAATTTCCAGATTGAAGATTCCAGGCAGGCTGGGGCGTATTTCCCACCCAGTGTCTGGGGCCGATTTTCTCCTTCAAGTCATTACAAGTTCCATGTCTCTAGCAACCCAGGGGCTTGGAGGCGGAGCTGCCTTTCCTCACAGCCCGGGGGGCTCCGACACCAGGTTTTCTCTGTTCCTTTTCCATATGCCCCGCTCTAGCCTTTGGTCTGGGTGCAGCTTGTCAACATTAAATAAGCACTTCTTGTGGTTCACTCATAACAATTCTTTAGATCTTGGAAGCCAGGCTATGGAACTCTGCATATGCATAGATCTCATTTTCACACAACAGGCTGCTTAGCAGATGGGGACCCAGACCAGCCTCCAACATTTAGCAGAGAGTTAAGATGTGGGAAACTAGGTGGCTTTTAACCAGCCCGGACTGCTGCCAGCGTTCAACCTTAGAGAATTTTCACAGGGAAAAGGGAAAAAATAAAATAAAAAAAAAACCCCAACAACAAAAACACACACATACACACACACATACACACACACACACACACAAAACCAACAAAACCACAGTTTTCCTTGCTCCCCCAAACCAGATGGCAGATGGTATGGAACCAATAAAACACAGATTCAAACGTTTGTTTATTTAACTTTGAATGTAATATGGCTTTGTGGTCCCTTACAAGGAATCACCAACCTTGCAACCAGAGAGACGACATTAGTCAAACTTCAGAGCAGCATTTGGAGGTGCTCCTGAGGAGGCCGTGGAGAGGAACCGGGGACGATTCATGGCCAGACCCCAAGCCTCATGGCCCGTTTGCCTCTCCCGGTGAAAACCCAGGAGATCCTCATGAACGCTGACTGACGCTTGGTTTCTGTTGCTTGTCTTTTGTCAAGGTTCAGTCCAAGAGGCAGCCAGCCGCATGAGGAATGTTCCTGCGTCATTTCTAAAGCAGCTGTGGACGATGTTGGTCTGGGCCACCAGGGTGAGAGACCATGAAAAAATGGACTGAGCCCTTGAGAAAAGGCCCTCCTTCCTGACGCTTGGGGTTTGTGATATCAGAGAAGGAGCGTTTCGTGAGGCTGTGTGGTGCCCTTTCTTTTTGGGCTTCTCAGAGACCTCGGGCATAATTATTGCTTAGTTGAAATAACTATCTACATTAGTTAAGATTCTTTTGGTTACCAGTGGCAGAAACCCAACCCAAACTACTTTAAATAAAAAGATAATTTATCAGGTTAAGTAAGAGCAGATGATTTCAGAGATGGCTAGAATCAAGGGCTTAATGTTCCCCGGGCTCCCTTTCTAGATCTTAGATCGGCTTTTTCTACAAGCCAGCCCCATACCTTAAATTGTCCCCCAAATCACATCTTATGAGTTCAGCAACCCTAGGAGAAAGGCAGTCTCATCCAGCAGCTCTGTCATCAAATTCCTACTCGGCACATAGGCTCGTTTTTGAACCTAATACAGTGGCCAGAGACTTGGGGTACTCTGACTGGCCAAACCTGGGCCATGGTGACCCTCTCTATAAGTGGGAAGAGGGGCAAGATTAGCACTACCTTAAGCATATGGAATGTATTCCCTAACTGGAAATATGGGGTGGGGGTGGGAGGAGCCAGGCCAGTACATGTCAACTTTAGCCTGGGCTTCTGGCAAAGCTCTCTGTTCCCTCCCCTAATTCATTTTATGTCTCTCTCGTTCTTCTCTCTCTCTCTCTAAATCAAGTTAGTAAATATATATCTTTCATAATAAGCAATACTAAAATTATGGAAAGTAGAAGTAACTTATTCTGCATGAGTGAACAGTGAAAGATTGAATGTACTCTAAAATATGGAGTTCTTTGGTAAAACTGAACCATCTTTGACTCAGAATGCCAAAGACGGAGGGAGGTGCCGAGCTCAAACTGTTCATAATGTTGGTTGTGGATGAGCTCATGGAGGCCCAGAGCAGGGCTGCCTTGTCCAAAGCCTGGTTGCAAATCATCTGCAGAATCTGGAATCCAGAACCTGATTTCAGACTCAGGGCTCTCCCTGTTTCCTGTCTGACTATGGCTTCTCATCTTCCTAGGTTGCTCTCCCAGGGCCTGACCCGTGTTCTGGCGTCTTCTATGAATTGGCTGGCAAGAATATCTGACTAGTGTATCAACTTTTAGGGGTAAAGCATCCCAGGACTCTCCGCCGGGACTATTTAGGTCTTCCATACCCAAGAGAAGGCATTTTTAAGAATGATCTCTGCATCAGTTTGTTAACTGCTGAGTAACAAGTTAGCACAAATGCAGCAACTTAAAACAACACACACATTTATCAACTCACAGGTTCCATTGGTCAGAAGACATGGTACGGCTTAGCTGGGTCTTCGGCGCAAGAGCTTGCAAAACTGAAACCAAGGTCTAGGCTGGGTTGTAGTCTCATCAGGAGGCTCACCTGGGGAAAGATCCACTTCCAAGCTCACTGGGTTGTGGCCAAAGTCATTTCCTTGTGGCCGTGTGACCAAGGTCCCTGGCTTTTCTGCTGGCTGGGAGCTGGAGGCCACCCTTAGGTCCTGGAAGCCACCCCCCCTCCCCCACCCCAGTTTCTTGCCACATGGGCTTTCCCAACATGGCTGCCAACTTCATCAGGCCAGTGGGGAGAAACACTCACTCTGGCCTGGAGTTTTATATAAAACTCCATAATCATTTGATTGAAAGCTTATCAGCCTTTCCTTATAACAACCTAACCATGGAAGCGACATCCTATCAGCCCTACCCTACTCCGTTGGGTAGAAACAAGTCACAGATTCTACCAGGGTGGATATTATTTGGGTGACCTTGGGATTCTTCCTCCACAATCCTTCACACCTTGGTGAATCAGCCTGCATGTACTCACCTCTATTGAAGAGGGAGCTCCTCCTACTCCATGCCAGGCAGCACACACACTGGTCTCTGCAGACAGCCAAGTAGGGATGATGGGCCTATGAGCAGATAACGGCCCTATGGTAAGGCACATGCCAAAGGCTGCATGTTTGAAGGGGTGGGGGTCACATAGGATAGAGTGTCTCCTTGGGCTGGGAGGGCAGGGCAGGGCAGAGGGTCAGCGAGGGCTTCCCAAAGGAGCGGACACTGGCGCAGCCTTGATGGATCAGTAGGACGTTGAGGAAGACAGAAATGGTGGCAGAGAAGCCCAAGATGTGGAGGCAAAAAGGCAAGGGGGGTCTGGGGAGGTATGAGTGATCCGGTGTGACCAATACAAGCACCCTGAGGAGATGGGGGTGACGCTAAATTACTGAGGGACTTATAGGCCAGGCTTAGAGGTGTCTTCCTTCTGGGGTCCATGGAAGGTCACCATGATGCCATAACTGGGGAACTGGGGACAATGGCATGATAAGCTTGGGGCTTCAGAGAGAGAGGACTTCCAGCAGGAGGCTGAGCTGGGAAGTCACTGTGGGCAGAAGACAAGCCTGGCTCGTCTGTACTAAAGAGGGCCCCCTCCCCGCTCTCCCGCACAGAAACCCCGGGGAAGGCAGACCTTCTTAGAGCCATTTCAGGCAGCCAGGTTGTCAGAATGATGAGTTCTGCAGCCTAGCAGTTCTGAACCAAAGGAGAAAAAAGTCCCAACAAGCCCCATCTCACTGCCCTTGACCTTGTAGTAGAGTTCTAAGTGCAAAATCTGTCATCTATTAATCTGTTAGAAGTTGACAAAAGGGACTTTGATCAGAGGTTGTTTTTCCCCCCTTCTTAAGTTTCCTGATGACACATAATAGCCCATTTCAGCCTGAGGGCCGGAAGCACGGCCCTCATTCTGCTCACTTCAACCCCAGTGGCCTCCCGCCCCGTGGCTTTCTCCCCGCCCCGATATTAATTGGCCTGTAAGTGGTTACATGTGTTCCTTTTTATGTGTCAGTTGGAGTCTGTTATTTGAACTTCACAGCTATTTGGGAACACAGGAGTGATGCTCTGGGCCCAAGTTGGGAAATGGAACAGTCCAGAATTTGTTGTGCTGGCTCCTACCTCCCGATTTTTTTTCTTCCTCTATCCCTTGAGGTCTTGATGTCCCCCGCCACCACCCCCGCTCCCTCCCTATCATGCTCCTCTGCGTGAGGCCCCCTGACACAACACGGCAGCCCAGCTCTTGGAACCATGAAGTTCACAGCCAAGAGAAGCCTCGGGGAGCCCCAAACTGTAGCTTCTGGTTTTAAAGAAATTAAAAGCCCTGGAGGGGGGAATGTTTTTTAATAAAAATAACGTTTGCTGAGGGGCTATCGTGTACACATTTCTTACATGTGTGTTCTCTTGTTTCGTCCTCAAAATAACTCTGTGAGTTAGGAACCACATGGCCACTTTCACATGGGGAAACCGGAGACTGTGGGAGACTAAGCAAGAGGGCTCCAGGGCCGGATTGCCAAAGATTGTGTCCTGCCTCTAACTCTTACCAGCTGTGTGATCTTGGACAAGTTGTTGAGCTTCTCTGTGTCTCAGATTGCTTGTCAATAACGGGTCTACTAATAGTACCTACTTCAAAGGGCTGTGGTGAGGATTAAATTGATTTAGTGTTTTTAGGGGCTTAGGGCAGGGGCTGGTGTAGAGAAAGCACTTACATGTGTCAGCTGATGAGGGTCTGCAAGACTGTGTGTGGTACACGGTGCAGAAAACTGCTTCTGGAGGGAGATGCCCTTGGTTTGAATCTCAGCTACCCCAGGTAGCTGTGTGAGCATGGGTAAAGTTACTTATTTCCTGTTTTCCCATCTATGAAATAGGGATATTCCCCACGGTTGGGGGGTCCCTCAGTGAAATGCTTAGCTCCCCAAATAATTACCCTGGAGTAAATTTCACCAACTGATAAGCCTCATTTAATTTCACAAAGGTTTTCATCTGATCTTTAGTGACCCATTTTATTTTTATTTATTTATTTTTTAAATTTTTAAAGTTTTTGAGAGGAATCTCTACACCCAACATGGGGCTCAAACCCACGACCCCCGAGATCAAGAGTCATGTGCTCTATGGACTGAGCCAGCCAGGATCCCCCAGGACCCATCTTAAATGTGAATAGATGTCAGAAAGTTATAAGTAATATCTTTGGTGAGATGAAAAGGTTTTGCATTCCAAAAAACCAAAACAAAATGTAAAAAGAAAAGGAGGGATCAAACTTAGAATAAAACAGAGCTCTTGAAAATTAAAATTAACAGACAAAAATCATGTTAAATAACACAACATTTGGAACACGAAGAGAACTGTCAGAAAGTAAAACAAAGAGACAAACAGATTGAAAGTAGGAAGGAAAGACAAGAAAATTGGAGGATCTATGTAGGATATTCAGCATCCAAATAGAGTTCCAAAGAGAGGAAAATGGAGAAAACACAGGGGAGGCAATATTTAAGGAAATAATACAAAAATAAAATCCTCAGAACTAAAATCATGAGTTTCCTTGACTGAATTCACCACATGCTCAACATAGCAAATGATGAAAAGACCCACATCAAGGTACATTATTGTGAAATTTCATAATACCATGGATAAAGGGAAGATATTGAAAGCTTTCAGAAACAAAAAATGAAAAACAAAAACAAAAACAAGACATGGGCAAGGATCAGTTTACAGTTTAAATCCAGTTTGCCCTGGATTTCTCAACAATAGCTCTGGAAGCTGATTTACACCCTAGAATTCTATACCCAGCCAAACTATTAATCAAGTGTGGCCTTTTCAGTAGCAACACTGAAAACTAGAGGCAAAGAAGCAATATTTTCAAAATTCTGAAAAAAAGTGATTTGCGATGTAGAATTTATATCCAGCCAAGTAATAATCCAGCAGAGGTTCTAAAGACATTTTTTTAAAAGATTTTATTTATTTATTTGTGGGGGAGGGGTAGAGGGAGAGACAGAATCTCAAGCAGACTCCCCACTGAGTGTAGAGCCTGGTGCACACGCAGCTCCATCGCATGACCCTGCGATCACGACCTGAGCTGAAATCAAGGGATGCTTAACTGACTGAGCCACCCAGGTGCCCCTCTAAAGACATTTTTAAAACACTAATTTCTCCCAAATTTGCCTTCCATTTTTCCTGTTTCAGGATGCTACAAGAGGGAGTGTTCTGCTAAAATGAGGAAGTCAACCACAAAAGAGGCAGACGTGGATCCACAAAGCAGATAATGCTATGGTGGAGGAAGTGAAGGGACCCCTAAGATTATGTGGAGAGATGCCAGGCTGGTAACCGTGGCCCAGACATAGCGCTGCATCTCTTCCCGCCATCAGGGCCCCACCTTACCGTGGCTGGCACTGAGGGTCCCCTGACCGCTGCCTGGCTCTTGATCGAGCCCCATCTGCCTTTCTGAGCCGCCCCACCGCCACTCCTGGGCCAGCCTCCTCACACGCCCTTCGGAGGGCAATGGAGACTTCGTGAGCCCTCTGTGTGCACAGCAACTGCGGGAGACTCTGGTGCTGTCATCTCGTCTCCACTTGAATGCCCCAACCCGGGTGCCTCATCTTTCAAACAGGATCATCACAGCACCGATGTCACCCGGGCATTGCAAGGATTAAATGAGTGAGTATTTCTGAAGCACACTGAATGGCATCTGACACATAGTGATGAAATATTGGTTTTTGTTAAATGAAATACGTTATGTAGCAGCACGAAGGTAAACCCGTAGTAGATTGGAAATGCGTCGGTTTAAACTTCAGCCACAGCTGAGGGGAATCTGCCAGCTCCTTGTCGTACACCCAAACACTCCCAAACTAGAGGCATTGTACGAGAGGCATTTCAACTCGGGATGCTGCCGCAAGTCTGACCACATCCATTCCTGCTGACCACGACTTAGGAACGCCTCATCCCTCTGAGGAGGAAGCTGGAGGCTTCTCCTCAGCCCACGAGTCTTGCTCGGCTGTCCTCTTCAGAGTCACCTTGAACCAGCCTTCCCTTGCCACTCCAGACACCTGTTTCGGGCAGCCGCTCACCAGCTGTGCTCCCTCCTGCCTCAAGACCTTTAGTCATGCTGTTCCCGCTGCCTGCCCTGCTCTTCCCAACACCACACCTTTTTCCTTTAGCTGCTTGCTACTTACCCCTTGGATCTCAGTCAGGTCATCATTTCTGCCAAGAAGCCTTCCCAGGACCCACAGGTGATTAGAAATCCCGTGGTGCATTCTCCTGTCCCAGGGTATGTTTAATTCTTGCACTCAGTATGATGTCTGCCACTCCTTGTATCCTCCATTCATTCAACGTAGCCTTACTGAGTTGCCTATACTTACTGGCACGCCGGGCCTAGAAAATGCAGCAACGAACCCCATAGACAGAAGCCCCTGCCTTCGGTGAGGTGGGTGTGCTATCGAGTGGTTTTTTGATGTTACCATGTACCTGGCAGAAAGCAGGCTTCAGTAGGTATTTGCTGCGAAATAAGCCACAGGAGCATTGCCTCCTTCTCTGAGAGCGAAGATGGGGCTGCCCCCGCCGCCCCCGCCGGGAACTTGTGAAGATCTCCTAGTAGCAGGGGCAGGAAGCAGGGGTGCTGACGGGCAGTTTAGAGCAGTTTAGTGGCAGGTGAAGAGAAGCCCCACCCAGGCGGAAGGTTGCTGTGGCTTCTTTGGTGAATGTCCCCCTTCCCCCAACTCCCCCGCTTCACCTCCTGTTCATCTGGCCATGCTTGTAACCAGGCCAGGCCAGCCTTCCAGATTAACCGGGGCTAAAGGGGAGCCGGAGGAGGGCCCTTTAGCGAGTGGGTAACCCTGTGAGTAATCCAGAGAAACAGCTCTGGCCCAGTGGTTCACCCCAGGCTTGTTTGTATCTCATTTCCTCGGGCAAATCAGCCTCTTCATTTCACTCTGAGGTTTAGGGTTTCCCCTAGAGCTCGCGGGGAGTCAGGCCAGGATGTTTTGCATCAGTGTGGGAAGTCTTGGAGTTGGAAGTAAGAGATGGGGTCAAAGCGAAGGTGACACAGGGTAGGGGCATTTGGGGGGCGCCCCTCTGCCTCGTCCTCATGCCCTTGGTCGTTCCTTCCCAGGCCACGTGGCAGAAGGGTCTAATGGTAACACCTAAGGAGACGGAGGATTTAGCCTTTCTTCCCAGCCAGGGGAAAGGAGGGGAGAGGAATAGGAATCAGGAAGCATGAGGCTCTGAGCAGGTGTGAAGCAATAGGCTCCATCTTTGGTACCCGAGTCAGGCGTGGAGCGCGCTTCCCACGGCCTTTGTAAGTGAGCGGGAGGAACTCAGGATCTCAGAGCGCATCCTCTGGGGCTCAGCTTTATCACTTCGGGCCCGTAAACAATGGATTTCTTTTCCACATGTCCTCTCTGTGTCAGGCTCCAGCAGTACAGACACAGAGGAGAACATTCCTTGGCATTTATTCTTGAGAAAGTCACTCTATGTCCCCGATCCTCACTTTCCCTATATGAAAGTCTCTCTGCCTGCCTTGGAGGGGCGCGGGGCTCACGCAGGACAGTGCCCTGCGCATGACAGAGGGTTGCAGCATATGTGCTGAAACAGCAGAACCCTCTTTAACAATCTTCAATGAACCAATGCTTCAGATCGCTGGAGGCTGTCCATGCCCCTCAGCAAGCACTGTCCCCATGCCCAGGATGCATCAAACCCTCAATGCTAGCAGGTACTCTCTGCTTTTCCTGGGCTCATCTGTTCCCGTCGGCTGAGCTCTATGTGCTTATCAAGTGCTATTTGTGTTTGTTCTCAAGCTGTACGTATTACTCTAGCTAAATAATGCAATAATTATTCCATAATGCAATGAAATATGAGTGCAGAAAATAGAGTTGTTTCTTTGCAATCGAACTTGAGTGCTTTGGAGAGAATCAACACATGCGGTAACTAAACAACACTCGGTGAATCGAATGTAAGTGAGATAATAGTAAAGGTTAGAGGCAGAAAAAAAAACCTGTGAAAGTTGAGTCTTTGGCATTCAGCTTTATGTCCTCACTCCGCTTTAAAGAGACAGAGACTAGAAATTGTCAATGACACTTTGTGGGTGTGGTTTACTTGGGAAAGATAACAAAGAATTCCAATCGGTGAACACAAAGGGTTCCCCACTTTCTGTGACTGTTGGGGCCAAGTGACCCCGATCAAGCTGGATCTCACTGGGTTCAAGAGGGCCTGTCCTATAGCTGTAATGCCTCTTTGGGAACTGGAAGGGGAGAGCATCAGGGCTGACTCAAGCCACGTAGTTGGCGTGAGAGCCTCAGACCTGGGAGACGCGTCGTGGTCTTTAGGCTAAGCTCTCCCGGGGGCTGACAAGTCCACCACAGCCCCACGGCGAAGTGGCTGTACAGGTTTTCTGT